AAGTTTGAACCGAAATCTCACTTTATCCTCATAACTAAAATGCTGGAACATTGTGAAAATAGTAATTTCATAAAAATCTGACAGGGCCACTTTGCTTTTTCTTGTTTACAGTGGCTCTCTCCTATCTCGCCATTAGCGAATAACGTGGTCAGGAAGTTTTTGCGTCCCCACAGAGGGCCAACCACAAATAAAGTAAGAGCCCTATTTTCGAAACTGTGTCAGCATGACAAGACAAGATATACTTAGCCCTATCTTAACCATGCAATATGTATATCACATTTCGATGTCTTGTCGGACTCCCTTAAACTTTCAATAATTGGTCTGCTGCAGGTAGGTAGTTTAATAAATTGATTTCATGAATGTAGATACATCAGTAGAATTTTTTCTTTCACAAGAACTGATAACATGTAAAATCTGAATTGAAATATTCTGACCGTTGCCTCATGAGTTGTTTTTAAAACTCAATGTTTCTGTGATTACAGAGTGTAACTGAGACTAGCTAAAATGGATGAAGAAATTGAAATAACACGTGGTGGCCCTATGTCATCATTGAACTCCTTGTTTTCTTTCACAAGCCCTGCTGTCAAGAAACTTTTGGGGTGGAAACAAGGGGACGAGGAAGAGAAGTGGGCTGAGAAAGCAGTTGATTTTCTTGTAAAAAAGTTGAAGAAGACTAAAGGTGCCATAGAATCCTTGGAGAAAGCTCTCAGTTGTCCAGGCGAACCAAGCAAGTGTGTCACTATTCCCAGAAGTATTGATGGGAGACTTCAGGCAAGTATATTTATCTTTCAACACCACCTGTATCACTGAAAAATTTCAGGGGCTCTTGACAGATCCCTAATTTCTAATTTAAGTACATTATGGCTAGAGTTGAAGCTTCTATGAATGAAAGGTGGCAAGATGATTTCTCTGCAAATAAGTATCAAAAATTATGATAAGACCCTCGGTAGCTTCAAATCCATGTCTGTGATCATAATTGAAGATACGAACTTATAAAGGTCCTATTTCTCTCTTGAAGTGCTGGCACTGAGCTTAGTGTAGAATTATTTTAGAGAATGGTCATCAGCTGGGGTGAGTTATGAAAGGTGTTGCTTCTCTGATGTAAAGGTGTAACTACTTTTTGAGATGAACCCAATTGTCCCTAAAACTTTTTGTCCAGATCTGTAGTGGAAATGGAGATTTGCCCTAACATCAGGAGAATGACAAAAGTGAGGATGCGAAAACCTGATTATCTTCTTTTCTATTAATTTCTTTTTTCAAGTTGAAGAGCCTCAGTTTCTCCATCCTGAAAAATGCTATGTTGTCAGGTATAGATTTTAAAGGAAGAAAAAAAAGAGGAAATCAACCCTTTTACCCATGAAAATATATACAGTCCGTATCAATTTTTTCCATGTCTGATGATATTTAGGCCTAAATCAATTTGATTACTGACAATGGTGACACCAGAATTGTCACTCCTGTTTAAAATGGACCCTTTTTCGTGTCTCTTCTTTACTCAAAAATGTGAAAGTATAAATATGACGTCAGCTTGCACACCATTGATCTCATCTGATTTGCTTTCTGTAGTTCAGATGAAGTGTGCTCTGGAATATCAGCTTCCCCAGCATTTCTCTTAAATGTGGTATTAATGACTCTCTTCTCTCTAAAAAATGAGTGGTACAAAGTTTATGACATTACTAACTTCTGAACATATCCATTTTCAATCAAGGGGCAAAGCCTTATAAACTCTAGGTTTTGCCGAAGGCTCCCAAAAAGTGTTCACACCTTCAGACTAAGTCCCTTTTTCGGAATTTAGGCTTTAAGTCTATCCTCTAATAATCTAGGGTACTGATGAAGACTTTGTTTTATTCTTGTTTTCTATTCTTACTCAACTTTTTTAAAAATTTGAATCTCCTTTTGGTAATATTTTAAGCTTATCATTTAGTTTTTGTGATGATATCTCCAATTAAACTGTCAGCCTATTCAATACCTTGCAGGTCTCTCACCGCAAAGCATTACCTCATGTTATTTACTGCCGTGTTTGGCGGTGGCCTGATCTTCAGTCCCATCATGAGCTGAAACCTCTGGAACACTGCCAGTTCCCATTCTCCGCCAAGAAGAAGGAAGTCTGCATCAACCCTTATCATTACAAACGAGTTGAAAGCCCTGGTAAGTTGATGCCCTCTTTTTCATCTTATTTAATACCAACTTCTTGTAGAGATCTTATTCTTTAAGGTAGAGGATCATTGGTTAAAGAAAGTTACAAAAATATGTAAATAGTTTTCCTGTACAGTTTAAAATTTTCAATGTACGAAATATCAAACCTCGAACTCCTTTTCAGCCTTGATTTTTTATTGCTTCATTCATTTGAATTTTATTTTTCAGTATTACCTCCTGTACTAGTACCACGCCACAGTGAATTTGCCCCTGGGCCTTCACTACTATCATATCAGCAACTGACTGTGCCAACAAGACCAACCAACGTCTGCTATTCACCCAATGGTTTTAGAGAGCCGGCATCTCCTAGCTCCTCCAACTTCAGTGCTTACAGCCCATATCAGACTCAAGGGCTTGCCGGTAAGTTTATTTTCTCCTTTTGTATAACTACTAGCAGATTCTTACCATATGGAAATACTTCCAAAAAAATAAATAAAAATTGCAGAGATTCGTTCTATACTAGCTTAATTTGAAAAAAGAATCATAGCAAACAGTACAAGATTAACCCATGTTAGACAATAGTATATTCCAGTATATTTTTCTTTCCTCCTCAGAAGCACAAAAAGTATTGTGAACACAAATCCAAGGACCCTAAATAAACTTCTGCCGAAAGGAAGGAATTATCATTGTAACATCAGCTCTCATGTAAAATGTTGTGAGGAACAAGACTTCCACAGGTGTTAACTAAAGTAAAGTCCCAAACTCATAGAAATGTCTAAACTTTTTAAAACTGATTTCCATTTACTTTACTTAATTTGTGCACTGTTGAGTTAAAGAGAACCAAGTAACTGTCTGATGAAGAATTGTGTTGAGACTGATTTTAAGCTTGTGAAGAAACTAGGGGTGCAGAAAGTACATCAATGCACTCAAATCAAAGTGCAAATTTTCTCTACGCACTATTACACAGTGTGGTCAAAGTATTTTTGGGGGAAAAATCAGCGCGGCAGAAGTGAATTTTGAAGCCAGTTCATGAACATTGTGCATGCCTGGAAGATACATGCAACCCTATGTCAAGAGCTCACTGCATCCAAAAATTATTCAATTTGAGAAACTTTAATTTGAAGTTTGTTTTTTACATCAAACCTAATGGAGAAATGGAACTTATAACCAATTTCTCTTTTCGAGCTCAAGTTTCTCAACTTCTTTTTTGATAAGTTTTACTCATTCCATAGAAATTATTCTTGTTAATTTGCTCCTTTTGATCTCTAATTTTTTCAGAATCTCCACCACCTACTTTCAGTGCATCGGAGGGTAACATGAGTCCCACGCAGACAGAGACCAAACCTGAGTGCATGGATACCAGTAATCTGACGGATGTCGCTCAAGTTGCATACCAGGTAAACGAATTTTCTACTGCATTTTCAATGCAATTGATCATCTGTCGAGTTTAGTCATGGTTTCTCTGGAGCAACTTGGTTTCTTTTCATCAACGAATTCAGTTCTTGGTTGAATGATAGTTACATGACATCTACCGGTAGATCAGAAGTTCCAACTCTATCAGCTCTCATGGTTTTATTTCTCTCCCTCTCTTTCAACATATTCACTGTCAATGTGTTTTTGCATAATTATTCCTGCCAGGCCAGAAACTTGGGTATCGAAAATAGAGAAATGCGAATGCTTCAAACCAAGATTACTGTCACTTGCCGCAATGATAGCGCTTCTCAGTGGTTACACATGAAACTAGTGCACTATAATTAGTTCCATGGAGGACTGGCAGATAGTGCCTCTATCGCATTATAGTGCAATGAAAATGCTGGTTGTTGTGACTGCTTTGATCCTGTGCAACCAACAAAAAAATGACAACTATGAGGGACCTGGCAGTAAATGTGTCAAATTCATGGAAGTAGTCCTTCATCGTTTTTTCAATTTCTTTTCTTTTGTTTTTTCAATAGGATCAACACTACTGGGCAAGTATCGCATACTACGAACTTAATTGTCGCGTGGGCGAAGTATTCCACTGTCAGCCACTGTCAATAACTGTGGATGGTTTTACCAATCCTAGCAGCAACAAGAATAAAAATAGGTTCTGTCTTGGCCAGCTGTCAAATGTCAACCGCAATTCAACCATCGAAAACACCCGGCGACATATTGGCAAAGGTAAGCGAAATTGTTTCTCATAAATAAAAGTAAGGGAACTTAAAAAATTGTGGTTGGAGTTACATGTACATCTGATCTAGCTTTTACCCTTTGAAATGACTATGCACACAATACCAAGAAATTCGGAGTTGCTTAAGTTTTAATGTTATTTGATATAGCGTTCATCTCGGCCTCCTGAGAATAATGAAGAAGGGGTGTTTTTTCTGTTGGGGTTAACTCTCCAGTGTGTAATAGTGACACCAGGGTCGTCTCCCCTATGCAGTCGGTGCTAAAACAATCTATAGTTCCTAATTTGCAAAATAAGCTTCCACGGATTCTTCATTTTGCAATAAGGAACTATAGCCTTTTTTTTGTAATTTTTGGCAACAGTGTGACGTTTTCGAAGAATCTGTCAACACAGGGTGTTAAAGGAACTCCAAAGCTATAAAATGAACCATCAAACTGCAACATTGATCCATTTGAGGAAAAACGCCAATGGTTTTTGCAAAAGTTGCTCTCCTGAAAACCTACGGTTTTTCCTATAGTTCCGAATTGCAAAATGCTATCCAATTCTAAAGCTTGGATTTTATTAGATGCAATGGCTTTTGGTCACAGCAAGGAAGTGATTTTGAACCTTAATGATTTTATGCATATTTTTTCAAATGCAAGAAGATTGGCAAATCATTAGATAGAGGACTGGACCCTCAAAAGTGGCTGAACGATGGTTTGTTTTTAAGTTTTCACAAAATGATTTGACATGAGGATTTAATATGTGACTTAATAATTATTTATGATTTTCTATCACCATCATAGTACACTTTTCCTCACCTATGAATAACTGCCATCACGATTTCTCTCAAGAAGAGTAAGGGTGTTCCTTTTATTGTCAGCAGCAAAAATGTCTCTTTTTATTTAACTTCCATTCTAAAACCTTGTCCTGTTCAGAATATTGACCATAATTTCATTGTTTTGTCAGGTGTCCAGCTAGTTTATGTTGGAGGTGAAGTGTACGCAGAGTGCCTATCAGACTCTGCCATTTTTGTTCAATCCAGGAACTGCAATCATCGACATGGATTTCACCCATTGACTGTCTGCAAAATTCCGGCCGGCTGCTCGTTAAAAATTTTTAACAACCAGGAATTCGCTCAGTTGTTGTCTCAGTCAGTAAATCACGGATTTGAAGCTGTTTATGAACTGACAAAAATGTGCACCATTAGGTATTTATTAGTTGATCTTTTTTTCAATCTACATATTTAACGTAATGTCGAGAGAAATACTCCCAACAATATAAAGGATTTTTTTAATTCAATAATTACATTGAAATAAAAAAATATTTAAATTTGTAAGGAAATGGAAGCAAGAAATGCATGTTTTAATTTTTATCTGCTGATCTCTCAAAACGTTGCGCCTTGGGGAATAAATGAGTTGGGAGTAGTTCGGAATTTAACCAGTTGTGAGGTATCTTCTGTCAAAAATACTTTAAAAAGAAAAAAATTTTTAAAAGTAAAAGTAGTCATGGAAAGTCCTGAGTATTGAATTCCATGGAAGAAAATAAAGCTTCAACCTTGATGAAACTTGGTGCATTCCTGTTGAGCCACCAAGGCAAAAATTGGTCTAGGTTGTAGCCTTTTTCAGCGAGAAAGCTGCTACAGACTCAGATGCCACAGGAAAAGCTTAAAATGTTCAAAATGGAACCATATTTTTTGTCCATTTCTCTCTACTTATAATGTTTTTTCTTTATGTCAATTGCAGAATGTCTTTTGTGAAAGGATGGGGAGCCGAATATCATCGCCAGGATGTGACGTCAACACCGTGTTGGATTGAGATTCATTTGCACGGCCCTTTACAGTGGCTGGACAAAGTTTTAACCCAGATGGGGTCCCCTCTAAATGCCATTTCATCAATTTCCTAATTAGACCCAGGTTTAGGTTTTAAAGTTCAAACTTGTAAATTTTTCTTGTTTTAGTTGTTATTTTCCTTCGTCTTCTTGAATCAGTATCCTTGATTGAGCTGCGATCAGCTTCTAAATGAGGAAGGAGTTAAGAGCGATTGCACTCAAACTGTCAATGTTTTCTCTCGCATAAACCTCACAGAAAGCAGAGCAAAATTTGTATTTTTTTTTCCATTTCTAAAGAAAATAATAATTTCTGAAGGCTAATTGAATTGTTCTGAAGTAACCCAAAAATCACTCGGAATAGGCCATCGACGTCATATTTATATCTCAAGTGTAGCCTCCTCTTTTTTGTGAATGGTTTTAACCTGTACCTTTAATCTATACTTCTATCCCTCTTGTAGAACTTGATCTATTCATTGCAGTTTTTTTTATTTCTGTTAATTGAAAGTGTATTTTCTTCTCACATAAAAAAAAAAAATAAAAAAAATTATGACCCTGTATTAAATAAAGTAAATCCCCTTGTAATAGAGAATTATATCATAACTGTTAGTCTTAGAAGAAAATTTTTCAGAAACGATTCTTGTTAGCACTTTCTTTTTTTATTTAGTTTTTAATTATGCAAGTATTCTTTGAACAAAAACATGAAAAAAAAATGATGGGAACCCCATGAATGACTATCAAAATTTACTGAAAGTAAAGAAAAAAATATTTTAAGGGCTTCTTCAACTTTCCTGCACTGAAAAAGCTGAAAGTTTTACCTTTATGCTCATTGCCGTCGAGCTAAATTTATATTTCTGTAAACATTTGCAAGAAGCATCAACAAAGCATGAAATTATGTCTTTTTTACAATTATTTTGCCAAGCATGCTGAAAAGTGCACTATGAAATTAGCCTTGTTTTAGCTGTCATAGAAAGTGCTAATTCGATTTTTGTAAGCTTTGTAAACAATTTTTTTTTAAATGAATTGGAAGCTTTTTCCTTCATTACTCTAAGTTATTATTTATTAGACAGTTTCTTTTTAACAATTTACTTATTTTATTGCATGTTTCTACTCGGTGATCTTCACACTACCTTCATAAGGTATCTTTAGTCCTGTTCCCTGTAGAAAATGCTTCATTAATGTATGTGCAAGTGTGTATGTGTGCAGCTTCGGTAATCAGTTTACAGTAGACATCCCTTGCCCTTTATCTAGGTGGAAACACCATACCAATTCACCATATTTGCAGCAGGATGGTTGATATATCTACTTATATGTTAGGTTGAACCGCTCCTGAATCCCATGAAATTTTTGTGACCTGGTTGCGAGCTATTATGATGCCCATTGTAGTGCTAAATCTGAAATATGTGAGCTTCCCAGTTTTGAACTTTGTGTCGCCTTTAATTCAATAGATGAGAAGAAAATAATTTACTTTTGACTGAAATTTGTAGACATTGCCAAGAATCATTAAGGTATGCACGACCTCAAGGTATACAGCTGCCTTGGCGTTTTAGGCGTCATCTTCCTCTGGGTTGAAATGACTGCATTCTCTTACAACATTTTTAAGCCCTGAATTTCTATATTTTCTGTACACGTGACCAGTTCTGTGTTTGCTCTGTCAGATAAAAAAAATTCTTGTTTAATTTTTCCCCTGTCAAATCTATACTAATAAAGCAGACTTCACGTTGATTGACTCACTCACTGACTCACGTATCAGCGGATCTCGTGAACGGGAGGCCGTGTGACCCTGAGATTCCGCACTGGGATCCCTCTCTACCCCGAGGCGCCGGATAAGGGAGGATTTCGCGATCCGCCCGCCGGTTCGCGGGATATCGCGGTCCGCGCGGGTCGATTTTCCCGTAAGAACAACGGGTGCGAGAGAGAGTGCGAGCGAGATGGAGCAAGTTCCGCGGCTCGCGCTCGAAGACAGCTGATAAATTTTACGTGTGTTCTTCTGGTGCGCGCAACGGGTGCGAGGAAGATGGAAGGAGTTCGGCGTCCAACGAGTGCGAGGAAGATGGAACGAGTTCTGCGTCGCGCTGTTGGAAACGCCGCGCCATGATTTTTGCGAGCTCCGACTCGTGCCTCCGTTGCCGGGCTACCCTCTCAGAGATGTGAAAATCTGGAAAATCTGTCTGTTCATTGGCATAGAATAAAGAGACTGACGTAGTCTTTTTATTCTATGGCATTGGTCTCCTCTGCGCACATTGCCGCTTGCTAGATTGAAGGCGTTCTATACTGTGCTGACGGCTCGGTCACACTGCGCCTGTAGTCGCGGTGCTGACAGCGACAGCGGAGCAAACAGAACATCGCTCCGACATTCTTCACCTGCTTGAAATGAAGCGAGAAACTATTTGAGCTCCGGAGTGGGTATGCGGTATCATACAAAATTGAAGGAAAATCATACGTTTTCGCCCATCCCAAGCAACAGATGTTCATGAGTTTTATGCGCACATTTACGTAGTCTTAATTGAGTCAGAAATTCGCGTGTATGCCACGATATTGATGTGAATAACTCGCAATTAATTATAATGATCTTAGAAATTCGCTAGGAACACGACGTATTTGCCGTGATATCGTGTAATTTCTAATTTGTTTTACAAAATCCCTGGAAAAATCAAGTTTTCTCCGCGATGTAGATGACAAACCCGCCATTGCTGAGAATTAAACGAAACCGCTGGTTAAATCCCGTAATTTTCGCGGCTGAAACTCACCAGCTAACTTCAATTAAACATTGAACTGACAAAAGTATCAAATCTTTATGAAAATAACCAACTTTTGATTGGGTATTTTTGATTATTACAATTATCATATGAGCTTACTGAAGAACAGACCAAAATAGCAGCATACTACTAATTTCTACTTTTTTATCAAACCAGTGTGTCTCGCCAATTTTGAAATAGTAGACGATAATTCAGAAACACAATTAGTAACTGATCACTAATCACAGTGATTGCTGGTGGTGGGGTTTTCCTGTGCGTAGCACGGGTTTCCTGCTAGTATTTTATATATATCTTTTTATCCCCCTTTTTAGCCTCAGTAGTGCTGTGCCATTGATTTTATTACCGAAGCTATTACTTTTGTTCAGTTTGATTGATCCACAGTCAAAGGAACCTTAAACTTTTTAGTAAACTATGCAGTATTCTTTGAACTGCAATTTTTATTTTGTACACAATGTGATCATTGTAATCCCATCTTGGTCTTTGAAAGGATAGGTGAAACACAAAAGTGAAACATCCCTCTCACTTTCCTTCAATAAATTTTATGCAGTGAATGTTTGACTCGGAGAATGTCGCGATCCAAAATATTTTCAAATTACTTAATTGTAAAATCTTTCAAGGTGCTTTCACTAATCTTGCATGGGAAGATTTAGCTATTAGAGCTGATCTGGGTTGAAATCTCCTCATCTGATGATTTTTTTTTTTTTTTTTTTTAGAAGTTGTTCTAGCAATAGATTGCTTGTATTGTGAATATGCATCATAATTCTGCATCAAAACATGGTCTGATTATTAAGGGAAAAGCTTTGATGGATGGAGGACCTCAGAAAACTCGAATATCCTCTAAAAATGTTCAAAGAAAAGCCAAATTTGCCATGTCATAGAGGGATGAACGGCAATCCTTCCCTTTCTCCTTAAAAAACCCCTCTAATTTGAATTAAACGACCTTCGTTAAACATTTTATCAGTCCATTTTTCCTTCTTTTCATTTTATCTGACAATTCAAACATCGCTAGATTTGGTTATTCTTGGGGTTTTGAAAATTAAATTATGTCTACTATTTAATTTCATATAATGATAGCACTGTAAGTCTTTAGTATAAGGTTTCCTTGTTGTCCGGTTATGTTTGTTTTTTAGTAATTTTATTTTAACTTTTTTATAGCGGTCATGTTTTTTTTCTTGCACTCATGCTTTTAAGTCTGAAAAATTGCTAATTTACTTGTAAAAATTTAGACAGCTCTACAACTGATGACACTAATTGAAAGAAGCGTTCTTTCTACGAGTGCAAGTAACTCGGAGGCACTATCCAGCTTCCTCCTATTTTCAAATGTGTTTCAGCAGTGTTACTGCTAGAGAGGTGGATCCTCCGAAGGTTGTGAATTTAGCTTTATGCTTTACCAGGTGCTTCATCCAGAATTTTTGGCTAGGTCTTGTTGGTACGAATATTCACAGCATTCATCACCCACTTTTAAAACCAAGAGAAATACTAAAATCATGTCGCTGTTCGTGAAAAGTAAAGAAAAAAATGTGAAACACTTAACTTTGCAATCATATTTCACTTCAGTTTCACTAACCTATTTGTTATTTTTCAGAAATTCCCCAGACCAATGAACGTTTCAAATTTAATTATTTGCGCACCATTTTTGAAATATATCCATCAGAAGTTCTCTTTTGAGCACTTTCCATTTAAGTTTTTTGGTCTTTAAAGTGATCAGCTTTTTTTTATCATTTTCTGCTTTTTCCTGCAGAAATGTCTTTCCTTTCTTATATACTGTCCCAGATTTCACTCATATTAACATGGCGAAGGGAAGTTGTGAACTATAAATGAAAACACTCGGGAATATAAAGGTGCCAAAGAAGAAGTGTTGCCTAGAGCTATTTTCTTGGCAGCAAACAAATCAAAAATATTATAAAAGGCAATTTCCCCGGCCTGTCTCTTTGAAAGAGTGTAAGAATAGTTAATGCAGAAAAGTTCATTATCTAAGGAATTTTTGTATGATAATCTTCATAAAAAATGTCTGAAATTTAAGAGCATTGTAACTGTAAAGGAAAAGTGTGCCATGTCCGTGAGTCCACACGTACATTTTCTCTCGATTAAAAATAGTCAAATACCGAATTGAATGAATTTTTACGAATGTGGAGAATTTTATTGTTTACCTTTCTTTTTTTAAGAACTAATGTTTTTATCAGCTCACTATTTTAGTAAATTTTTGGAATTTTATTCTTTAGACATTTTTATTGATGTACTTACTTAGAAGCTAAGGCTTCTATTACAGACAATCTGATTGGCGTCTCTGTTTTTTCATCGTCAGTCTTATGTTTAAAATGCTGCTTACATGCTTGCTTTGATCCCAACGAACAACTAAAATGCAGAACAAAAATCAATTCCTTGATGAGTTTTTAAAGTTGTTCAGTTTACTGACAGGCGAGTATGTCCATTAAGTTTCCGATTATGCACGGTTACTGCAGCTAGAGAGGTCAGCGTCTGTTTTGGGGCAAGTAAATAGAATTGTATTTGCCGTCTGAAAAAGCAAGTTCTTCCATCCTACTCTGGTCGTTCATGAACTTTTAAATTAACTTAAATTTAGATAGTTAATAAATAGTAACCGTAATTTTAATCTGGAGAAAGTCTCTAATAGCATTTACACAGCGGAAAGACTGGATCTCTTCAAAAACTCTAGTCTTGCATCATTTAAGTGGATTTTCGGTGGATCCTCAATTATAGTTTTTTCAAGAATTTGAATTTCAAAATGACAAAGTGTTCTTGTGTTTCTCCTACATTGCTTATTGTGATTTTGAAAGTGCCAGATATGTATCCAAGACTGGCTCTCTATGCGTCTTGCTTCGCCAGCTTTGCAGCTCTTTTTGATTAATAAGTTTTAATTGTACCGTTTTGTGCCAATTATAGAAGTTAAATTTATTTTGTGTATTTTTTAGGTTGTTAAAAAATATTTTATTTTATTGCTTCAGTTTACCTAGGTGCTTGATCGGTGGCAAAGAATGATCAGCTATCTTCAATTCACTTTTTCCCTTCGTGCAATGAAGATTTTTCTATGAAAACGAAGATCGTGCAAAAGTATGCCTTTACTAAATACCTGAAAAAGAACTTTTTGCTATTGACCCTGAAAAGTTCTTTCTCTGAACTTTGTAAGTAGCCCTCTTTTGCTGAACTTCCGGCTGATTATTGTAATTGATAGACAAAGAAGACGAAGGAAAAATGGAGCAATCCTATTGGTTGAAATGAGTGGTTGTGATAGGCTCAGGGGGAACTTATCGACGGTGAAACTGCCAAACCACGTATCTCGTTTGCGGTGTTTAAAAATCTACGCTCACATTTTATTTTTTTGAAGTAGACCAAATCAATATCAGTCCTTGAAATTTTCACAGAACTTTCTCCGCACGAAGAGGAAAAATCACAGAAATTTTCAAGACTGGACGTTAAGTAGTTTTTCATTTAAAAAATAAATAATGACAGGAAGTCTGCGACGTTGCAAACCGAGATACGTGGTTTGGTAGTTTCACCGTCGTTATATACTAAATATAGGGTCTCTCGTCCGTTATTAGCTAGTCTATGACCAACCTCATTTGTCCATTGCACCCACCTCCACTCACCAATAGGATTGTTTCATCTTCTGTTTGTCTATCATTTTCAATAATTAGCCTGCCGTATCCAAGTATTTTTCAAGCCTGATAATAGCCTGCAGTAATTTGTAAAAAGCTAGGTAAATAATAAATGCGTTGATGTAGTGTTTCCTGATGGTTGTACGAGATTTTTTAAATTTTACTGCAAACATGTACTAGCTTCTGTTTTGGTCCATAAGCATGCTTTCCTTGTTGTATTTTACAAGACTTGGTGCATTTGCCACTATTACTCTGCAGTTCTCAGCTTTGCATTGTACAAATTCTTTTGTGAAAGTTTTCTAACTGTTGATCTGTTGATCGATAACCCAAATTTATGATTTTGTGTAACAGCACTTAGGAAAATCCAATATCCTGCAATGTATCAGGCTGCTAATTTTACAAACTCTTTTATTCTTATGCCTGTAAACACAAAAATGTTGTGATGACGCATCTTCGGATGAGTAAAAATATTACTGCATTACAGTTCTTCAGTTCTGTCTATATCAGTTCTTTTGGGGATTGATCTTTTGCAATAGCTATCTCAGCTGTTACTGCCGTTTAGTTTATTTTTCGTTTAAGGAGATATTCTTATGTTATTTTAATTTTTTCTGCAATAATTTGAATTAATATTTTTCCCCTCCCAGAGCTTTATCACTGTTCTGTTCCGTACTTTTAAAGTTTGATAAACATCCTCAGATTTTCATTAAGATTGTAATGTACTGATTGGCTGCAGCCTCCCTATTTAGTCTCCTCTTCATCAGGGGTAGGTGGAGAAAATGCGAGATAGCCTCTTCAGTCATTTTCAGGAACCTCTTGTCTTTTTTTTAAAATTTCTGGTTGAAAAAATTTAGCTATCAAAATCCAATGTAAACTAAGAGGAAACAATTTTCTGTTCCCCCTTTTCTAAATTGTTCATATTCTGTCCAAGAGCTATACTAGCCATTTATGTGATAAAAAGTCTGCCATGATTTCTAGAAACTGCTGGTAGTTACTGGTGCCATACGATAAACATTTTTGTCTTCCAGAGCGCAAAGTATTGGTTATTAGAGGCCACTAAATTTATTATTCCATAGCCATGAAGAGGATGATGGCCAAATAGGTGAAGGTGTTTCAGCCCGTTAGGAACATTATTTATTTGCCACAGTATGTAATAGGCCATGGTGGAAACTCTAAGCTCTGCTGTGAAAACACCTTGCTCTGCCTTTCTCACTCCTTGTAGTGGGCCCAAATTATGTCGGTCCTTCCAGCGCTTCTCACTTATACTCAAAACAAGTCATGACTACACTAATATGTCCGTCTCATCACCACTGAATGGTGGTGTGGTTTGGACTCATCACCACTGAAGTTACGTTTCAATGTAAAAGTGAATACAAAATTCGGGCCCAGAGTATTTGTACCTAATGTCAGTTTAGTCAACATGGTCATCAAATCTTCTTTAATGAAGACAGTTTTCCAAGCATGCTCCAAGCATTTTCACCATGGCTCTAAGCATACTGAGAGTAGATGCGTTGGAAAATCCAACAAAAATGGCTTGGCTCAATTACCCGATTTGTTTTGCTGACCAATATGTCAGAAGCTCAGCACCCGGCCAAAAACCGGAACCTCAATGAGCCAATGGAGCAATTTTGTTGTGTGGCCATCTCGAAAATCGGGTTAATGCATTGGAGTTTAGCAACACTCATTTTATCACTCATAGGCCATCGAAAATTTCCGAAGGACATAATTGTGGTTAAGAACGCATCTATGGTACATTATTCATACTTCGAGTTTAGAAACGTTGTAGGAAACGTAATCATAGTGAACATGTCTTTTTCAGTCTTCAATTTTACATTAACACACTTCATGACAATAATTTGTGGTTCTCGGTTATCTTTTCTCCATTGTCATTAACTGTCTGTACAAGTTCATTGTGAATATACCTTTTATATTTTAATTTTTTGTTCTTTTTTTCCCATTCATTTTTTCAATATGTCCATTGAAAGTAATTGTTCTGAAGGAAAAGAAAATATTTTAACCCATCTCTCAAATAATTCGTGTCTCGATGTATTTGATTAACTTCAGGGTGGTTCATACTTACCAATTCGTTTAGGATTTGACAAATGAAACCAGTGCTACCCCCTGTGATTGAAATCATGTAATTAAATTAAATGCTCTTAATAGATTTCACGCTGAATAGTAAGGCTTTTTCATTTAACCTACAATTACTTTCAATGCCTTAGGAGAATAGAAGTGCTAATGCTAGATTATTGACAAGATTTAACCAGGATTGCATTTCACATTTCTCAATTTTCCCTCATGTGTTATTTTTTCACAGGGAACTTAGCTACTTAACGTCTTTAAACCCTCTTGTGAATTTACCATAAATAATGAAGAATATACCTACTGGCAAAAGTTCAAGATAAAGTGTGCCTTGATTTTTAGTTTAAAAAATAAAAAATTAGAGAAAATTAGGCAACATCTGTTGTGGTTATACTTCAGTTAAATCAGTCCTAATAATGCAGTGTTAATATCCTAGGATGGATCTATGCATTCCATTCTGGACAAGATAGATAAAATATGATTCCATGATAATGAGGGAGTTATTTATAAAGTACTTTAGGTCATTCTCTGTTCCTAAGATCATCGACTTATTGAAATCTAAGGCTTTGATACATTTCTTACTTCGAGAGAGGATTATTTTTTGGTCCATCCCCAATGATAACCCCAAAATATTGACTCTTTCGCTTCTTACATCATTCTTTCGATGTTCGACTTATCTGGTTCTACCACAATAAGTGAAATGTAACCTGCAGTCAGAATTCTGAATTGGACATTTCAACAGCACTAAGCAAATCGGTCGTGCCTCATTAATAGTGGTACAAACTACCTGTTGCCGTAGTGGAAGACTGTTACAATCAGTTAGGAAGGGATGCATATGCAGTTGGAGGACATAGGGGTAAAGTTGTCATAACAAGGAGAACTTAAAAACCGCCCAGACGCCATTAAACTCCATTGCCATTTGAGATTTTCGAATCCTTCAACAGATATGCCTGTTTGCTTACTGCATTTATCACTCCCTAACATCATTCAGCAATTCAGTCGCAACCGAAAAAATGTCAAGGAAAAACTGTTTTATTTGCTCAAAACCATCAGAGAGCCTCCTAGACTTAATTGTACCCAAATTTTTCTTCTAGACTAATTAGATTCTTTCAAAAGGCTCAAGGAGGATATGACTGATTTGTTTCAAGCTTAACACTTGGATTACATTTTGCAAAAAGGAACCAAGAGCATTCCAATGTCGTTAAGATTGTGCAACTTTTTTTACCTTAAAAATATAAACGGATCATCTAAACAAGTTTTATCTTTACCCTTAGTAATAAACTATAAATTCAAGACGAAAATTAACATTGGAAATCTAATTTTTTGCATGATTTCAGTAATTTGTGCAAAGAGCCAAAGTTGCACAATCCTTGCAACATTGGAATGCTCTTGGTTCCTTTTTGCAAAATGCAATCTACTTGTTGTATTACTTAATTACCAATTCGTCGTTGATTCATCATCAAAGAGTGATACACATTGAATAATGCAGCCACTAAATCGGTCTAAGCAGTATGTTGATGTGGTGGCAAAAAACTAATCTAATTTCTAGGGATCTACCTTAAAACACGACAGAATTGAGATTAATGCCAAATTTAAAAATTGGGCTCAAATTTTATTCCATATGTTAAATTTGTTCTGTTATTTTTTAAACATGTATTTACAGAATTACATATTCATAAAAAAGTTGAAAGAAAAAAAAGAAAGAGACTATGATAAATTAATAAATACTTAAAAAGTACACAGTATCAAGTAAATGATGTTGACATGTACAGATGAAAAAGTAACTGGGTTATTTCTCCATTTTGAGTGTCCAACCGTTCTGTACCTTTCTGCATAAAGATATTTATAAATATAAACACACGTACTTACAAATTAGGTATAAATATAGAACTCATTCATTATTTTTAACTTCAGTGAGCGTGCGTTACTTCGGCACATGTGCATATTTACATTTTTATACTTCATTCAACAGAAACACCACCCAATAAAAATCGAATTAAAAACTTTCTGAAATTTAACCTTACTTAATTTTATAATACAGAAGAAGATAAAAATCAAAACTAAAACAATAGATACACAGATGACGCGATTCAAAACAACCTTTTCAAAGTCTGCTCAATACAGGACTTCCAAAAAGAGGAGACGAAAAGAGAGTCATGATTAAAACTTGGAGTGATTCAACAACTACAGCAAATTGTACAAGCTCTTTCCCTTTCTCTCCAATATGTTCTGATCAAACTGAGATGACAGAACAGAAGGAAGAGCTTCAAGAAAAATAATAAAATCTATTCATACATAAATATAATTGTATTTATATTTATATAAAAGACTATGCACCTTGAAATTTTACTCACATCAAATACAATGGATCATCAACTTTATAAACAAACTCTTCCAAAAAATAAAAGGTTATTCTTTACAAAATACGGACTTTGAAAACTAAAGATAATTTTTTATTTGACAGATGATGGAAATACGACCTTTATCTATTCCAGTGTGTTATTCAGAACTCCTCAGCTTCTGAAGTAGAGATTCCGAATTCCATGATTTCAAAGGGCAAGTGCCTTTGTACATACAGAGAGGGATACCCAAGATTCAATGGAATTCTTATCCACATTAGTCGATTTTAGAGACTGTTACACCTGCAAGCAATGAACGCAAGGAGGTCTTCATCAAAATAAGACAATTGAATCAAACATTCTGTTTCTATACATAAAAAATAGGAAATTATATTCCAGAGAATACACACAAAGAATACATTAATACATGCAAAGAATAGCCTTGCCACTTTGAAACATCATCCAGATACTATGAGCCTGTTCAGTTAAAACAAATAGAAAAAATAAGAGCTAATAATGAATGGCAGAAGTACATGACTGCCTGATCTTCCCGTGTATTCTTCCAGCCAATCAGACACCCAAAAACCACTTTTTCATTTCTTCCGAAAATAACATGAGAAATCGAAACCAACATTTTCTCTCGGATTAAGCATTTCTATTGATGTATAATAAATTACGTTCCCTTAACCCTAAGATATTGTTTTTTAAAATTTCAATTTTCTTCCACTTAGAACAATGTTTTCCACTTAGAACAATGTCCTATCCATTTTCTAGTAAAAAAATTCGATGAGTGCAAGAAAATTGAAATTTCAGAAATCAATATCTAAGGTGTTCTTGGGAGTGAAGGGAACATATTATACATCAATAGAACACAAATCCTCAAGAAGAATAGGGATATATTTTCGTTGAAAATTGGCTGAATTCAATAAAAATACATGGTGGTTTTGATTTCCCATGATGTTTTCCATGAGAAATGAAAAAGTGATCGTTGGCTGTCTGATGGGCAAAAAAAAAAACGGCGGAAAGATCAGGTAGCACTTCTGCTATTCAAGGAGGGCACATATTTTCTCTATGGGTTAAAAAAAGACAGGGATGACAGGTTAGCTGTTGTATATTCAGCTACCTTGCGGATATTCGGTTTGATATGGTATTTAATGCTAGACAGCTTCCTCATAATCGCCCTGAGAGTCAGGATACTGGCTTCATATTAAGTCTAAATGGGACTTGGTAAAAAAATAATTACTGGGAGTTTTGGAGGCTGATAGCAAAAGGAAGGAAAGATTAAATCACAATCCAGGAGTTGAGTTTTCAATCCATCAGTAAAAGTGAAGTAAGAGAGATAGGGGTAAAATGGCCAATTCTAGCAATTTCCCTAAATTTGGCGGCCATTGCTTGTATAGCAAAGTTGATCTTTGCATCATCACAGTTCATTAAGTAGGAGTAAAATTGCACTCTTAGAATGGGCTATTAAAGGGTTTTTACACAAATAGAGCTCAATTTACCTTTTTAACAGGTTGTCTAGTTGCCATGTTTTTTGCTGAGGATGTTGACGATGAAGGTTTTGAGGAGCGAGCAGGTTGAGGTATTATCGTGATTTCATCGTTAATTTTCAGTGGTTTCAACAGAGATTCATTCTGGAACAAAAATTCGGAAAATAACATCTGTTGAAGAAATTTTTGACTGATAAAAATTGTGCATTTTGACTATTTATAAGGTATCTTATGAATGCAACGTCCCTCAAGTTCACAACCAATGCACAATAGAAGCGACTTCCAGCAAAGAGGGCAAACAACATCTTTACCTTTTCAGGTTATTTCTTCAAAATGATGGCCGATGCTCACCGGGTGGGTATAAAGAAACTTCAGATTCAGACTGAGCGACTGAAAAGACATGAAGTATGTGAACAGCTGTGTGCCCAAAATTACAGCTAACCTACTTTTTATCTACAACGGGCCTGGACTAAAATGCAGTCTCCTGAAAAGAGATGACCATGCATATGTGTATACCCCCATTTTTCCGAAGAGGTTTTCAAGTTTCCTTGCAGCTGCCTCCAATTAATTCAAGGTAAAGAATATTGTAATCGGGGATAAAACAACAAAAAAGCAATTTAAAAGCACTTAAAGAGATAATTAGATTAGTGCATTGAATCAGAAATATCTTTAGCACCACCTACACAAAATAAATGTGTACTCCAATGCCTTGGATATATTGATCTACCTCATACTCAAAGAGATAATACATACAGTGGAAGATATTAAGCCAAAAAAGTGGTTCAGTTCTTAGAAATTTCCTCAGGATGGGAAAAAAAAATCTCTTCCCTGCATCTAACTTGTCAATAAGTAGCACAGAAGTTTGGACTATTTGATACGTACCTGTGAATTACTACTCGTTGACGGTTGGGGAGACGAGACTTTCTTGTCCATGACTCGTTTGGCTACTACACTGTGAGCAGAATAGACATGGTTTTCAAACTGCTTATACATTCCAAAAGTAGCTGTACAAACGGTGCATTTATATGAGAGGTGAGCTGGTTTTAAGGACATATTGTGGTCTCTGGCTACGTGGTTCAACAGCTTCCACTGATAAACCTGTAAAATCAAATTAGAGATGTATATTACAATTTTTACAATTCTTGCAAGAAAAGAAGAAAGTATTTCACAGTTACAGCTGTGCTTAGTAAAATTCTGAGAATACATTTTGGTAATACAATTTCCGGAGAGAAAACTATTCAGAAAATTGTCGACTCCAGCCGTGCAACTGTTTACTGGTTTGTCATGCCATGAAAAAGCATCATATGAGCCTTTGGAAATCACAAGTTTTCTCTGATTAAATACAATTTTTTTTATAAAGTTGGGAACAATTTTCAACCTTCTTTTCTGATAAGTTCTAAGCACAATTTGATCTCAAGTGTCGGAATATTTTAAGGAAAAATATTCATAACTTTCCTAAAAAATAAATCTTATTGGAGAAATCTGACAACATTCAGATGTTCAGTGATCTTCCTCAGCACAACAGTGATGATGATTCTCCCAATATCTAATGCTAAGCTAGTGCTGTCTAAGTATTAGTACTGAATTGAGGTTACAGTCACGATATGTATTCCACCATTGGTTCCACGGTAGTACCATTTTTAGACACAAAAGGTTTTTTGGTGGTAGACACAAAATATTTTTGAACAATGAGCTCCTTCAAATTTCGAGGGAGTTGAATTTAGTCATGCAAGTGTAGATATTGATACTCACCCTGCCACAGACTGGACAGCGACCACCATCCTTGCCCTTATTTGCAGCCTCTTGCATAGATGATGTAACTAAACCATGAGAACCTAATAAATGCCGCTCTAGACCCTGATCCGTGAAGAATCGGAATTGACACTTCTGACAATTAAGGGGTGGTCGATTGTAAATCATCTTTGGATGTATTTTAACTTTGTGAATCCATTGCATATGGTTTCGTAGCTGCTCCAAATCCTGAAAATAGGAGAAACAGATTCAATTAAAAGAGTTATTTGAGAATGGAGAGTTTAGTAATTTAAGAGATGATCAGTTCCCATTCATAGGAATTAGGGATTTCTCCCATCTTGAACCCATACTTGTGCTGATATGTACGTAACCAAGACTCTGTGGCTTCCACAATAAGTTTGGATGATGTTCCAGTTTGAATTGTGATGCAGCGGTTCCACCTACATCCAATACTTTAAAGAGCAGATGTTCACAAGCTCTGTGTTAAAAAACTGTGACATCCAAGAAAGACATTTCGTTTCGACAGAGCCTGACATACGCGAGACGAAAGGAAAAATAGATAAAGCTGACCAATCTCCTAACTCCATTACCGTCTGAATCTGCTATATCTTGTTTTACCTAGTTGATAAACACAAAATTTCAACAATTATGCCGCTGACACAACTCATCATGAATTTCGGTTAAAAATGGGGGTAGGCCAATTGCAGAGTTTCAGAAAAAGAGCCCATGAAACGAGGGCGAGTTCATTCTTCTAATCTGCTTTTTAAAATTCCAATGATTCTCAGTTAAGCAGCCACTATTCTTCTAGATAATAGCTGCTCAGAGAAGCAAGCACATCTGGATTATGGAGGGTCTGTTTTCTGGAACCCTTCAAATTGAATTTGGAAAGCCTTGGAACTTAATGCACAACAAGCACATACATTGGTTGAGCACATCAGGCTCACACAATTATTTGGAATTTTGGACGACCTCTCTTTGTCAGGTACCTCTGAAGTTTTGCTGAAATTACACTAGGTTACATGCAGCTGCGTCCCCCCCCCCCTTAAAAATGTAAAATTTTACATTTTTCGAATCTTTTATCCTTGTTTTCACTTCCCCAATTTTCAAACAGTGCTTTTGGCCTTGGACTAGACTTGGCTACACTGCTTGAATCTTTTTCCTTTTTGCCAGGATGTCAGGTATCTCAAAAATCTCTCCTATTAGGTGCTTGTTGAGTCTCCTTTTGTGAGCAACCCTACAAATTTATATTCCAAATGCTGATCAGTCATGTTTTTTTTTATACATATAAATGCATCTTTCCTCCTAGAAAATATAAAACTGTTCAACATTTGAATCAATGTGAAAAATTACAGTAAAAAGTAAGCATACTTTTATGTAGCCATCACAAATTTCACAGATAACAAATTGTCCCTTCTGCGCACTTGTTGGGGGTCGGCCAGGCTTGACTTGCTGTTGTTGACTTGCAGCTGGTTGATTTGCAGATCCTTGCCTCGGTAAAGGCGTAATTGATATACTAGGTTGATTCAATAATTTTGCAGTTGCTAAACCTTGCTGTTGGACCAAATTTTTCTGGCCAGCTATACTCTGTAACACAAGACAAAGTCGTTAGAAGAACAAAATAAATAAAAAAAATGGTTAAAAGAAAAATCACATTGGTGTGCTTTACTGAGCAGTGAACGTCATCTCTTTGAAATAGATGTTTTTTTTTCCTCTCTTTATCTCCTTTTCTTCTTGGTTTCTCATTTTCACTTTGAAATTGTTTACATACTACTTTATGACTAGTCCCTTAAAACAGACTTTATATCTGGATTAGAATATCCATGAATTAAGAAAGTCAAATAATATCTACTAGTGCATATTACCTACTCACTAATGGCGCTACAACCCGGGATGGGCTTTGGCCTCCAAGACTAGTGCATATGCTTCATGTCATATAAAAATAGAAAACAATGGGCCTGTTGCAAACTTTTGCTAGAGCAAAAATAAGAGTTGTTTCTTATAGATAATGCCTCAAAAATCACGATGAGCGCATCGGCAAAGTCTGAAATGCACTCATAACTTCACAGTCTGCGTAAGAAATTTGCGGTTTTTTGAGCTTCCCGCTTCAAAAACGATACTACGGCACAGGTGAAGATTTTGTAAGAGGAGTCGTTCCATCGTCGGCAATAATCATCATGGCCGACGCCAATCCGCCAAAACACGTTTGATGGGACGAGATAATACCTGAACTGGATTAGACCAGATGACAATCGGCGTGTTTTAACGTTCATGTTTTTCACGCCCGCATTGATTGACCTTGAACTCTCCTCGAATTACACGCGGAACTGCGCGCAAGCGTCGGCCATGATGAATATCGCCGACGATGGAGCGACTCCTCTAACAAAATGTTCACCTGTGCCGTAGTATCGTTTTTGAAGCGGGAAGCTTAAAAAAACGCAAATTTCTTACGCAGATTGTGAAGTTATGAGTGCATTTCAGACTTTGCCGATGCGCTCATCGTGATTTTTGAGGCATTATCTACAAGAAACAACTCTTATTTTTGCTCTAGCAAAAGTTTGCAACAGGCCCATTGGGTACAAAACACTTTTAAACTTTTTAATTTAATAAGGGAAATAATGAAGTTGCAGAGAGGAACACAAGTTGTGGAGGACTAAGAAAACAAGAATAGGAGGAGGAAAGGGGGATGATGGTGAAAGTAAGCTAGTTGTGAGGAGGTATAGGGAAATTTTGCCAAATTCATAGTTCACCTTTGTTACCTGGAAAAGCTGGTTTCCAGATATTTGATATGAGGTAGGTAACAGGACCTGAGGCTGAGAATTTGATCCAGAGGGTCGGTAGATCATACCTATTACAGACAGAAACAATATAGAAATTAGTCATAAAATACCACAGGGCACGGACAAGGTACTTCAATGGCAAATATAGTCTTTGAACATTGATGGTCCTGGTAGACTGGCGAACTTGGTTTATGTCCATTCAGTTTATGTATAACAGTGCTATCAACTTACCAGTATAGCAAATGTCTTTGAGAAGCAACTAACCTCTTTAAGGTAAAAATTGGATTCACTCACAAAAATGGAATGAAATATATTCATTCCAGCGGTTTAGAATATATTGGATTGAAGGAGCATGATCACAAAATTTTTGTGGTAGTCCTGATGGATGAGAAATTCACTTTGTAAACAGTGAATTTTTTAACCCCTGCAATAAAATACAGAAACTCTTCTATGCTTATTTTCTTTATTGGTGTCCACAAAAAAAATTGCTGCCTTTTGCGAGGGAAACGGTTATGGGCATTTAGTTTTGGATGAAGAATTGAGGACTACTTTAAGCATCAGCTTTCCTTAGGAAAACAGTCGAGCATGATCATTATCAGAAGGGAAACCATAGAAAGCATTAACTCTCAAGCACTTATACTGCACTTTTGCTGGCAGGTTTACTGAATACCTGCCTCACTTTACTGCCTTTTTTACAAAAAAATAAAATAAAAAAAATAAAATAAAAAAAAAAACCCAATCTCAAAAGTCCTTTGATCTGCACTCAGCTCTACCTAAAAAAAGGTATTTTATGTGACAGCTAAATGAAGAATGTGAAAACAAAGAACTTCGCAAGCCATTGGTTCATTTAGGTCCAATTTTTTTCATGATTGAATCTTCTTTATCAAATCCCTATTTAATTTGCATCAAATCAAAGCACGGTGATTGTATATGACAGTAATATACTTCATCAGTCTCTGACGGTCACATGATATGAACATGGATTTCTTAGCTCCTATGTCTAAGGATTGGTACATTCAGAGATAAAAAGGAAAAAAAACTGGTAACTATCAGAAAAAGTACGTAACAGTTATTTGCCTGACAGATCCACAAAAAATAACCAGATTTCATTGATAATGAAAGAATGATAACTTACCAGGTCTGATAGCCTGATTCAATGCGCTCTTGGTGACTGGTGAAGGGAAACGTTGAAGAAGGGTATGAGGTCCCTGAGGTCGTCCGCGTCCCCGATTAAGGAGGCCTTGAGTGGTGGGCATCGGAGAGGCAGCTAGTTTGGGCAACAGTGGGTGGTGAACGGGGTTACCTTGCTTAAGGCCAGACATGGCTGCTTGATAAACAGCGTTCCCAGGGCTCATTGTAGGCCTATTTTTAGTAACTCTTGGGATTTTTGCTGGAGGTTCCCAATCTAATGGTGCTTCCTGAAACCAAATTTATAATCTCAATATATTATCCAAATTAATTAGTACCACACATTTACGAATTCAATAAAAAACTATACAACTTTTTAAGATGTAATCAGTGAAAAGAGGAGCTCTATTTTTGAGAGAAAATTATACAAAGTATACTTCTACCTCTTCCTTAGTATGATTTCTTCAAAATTGTGTGAGGATTTGGCTTTAAAAATTTATGACTACAGGCTGTTTAGAAATCAAAGTAGTTGTTTTTTTCCTCTTTTTTTTCCAAACCTGCTTTTTTCTTAGGTGCACTCTGCAGCCTGATTGTTGAAATTGTTTGTTTGTCGGGATGACATGGGTTAAAAGGCGGAGCGTGATTTGTCGGCTATGTCTTATCGCTGCTTTATCGTGCCTATGTCGGGTGGAACTCTTGACAAGTTAAAGGCACCTCGTAAGTTTCTGACAGTATATCGTCCATTCCACCTGACAAAGGCACGATAAAGCAGCGATAAGACATAGCCGACCAATCATGCTCCGCCTTTTAAGCTTTGTCATCTATGCCGTCCCGACAAACAAAAAATTTCAACAATCAGGCTGCTGATTCAATCAATTTTAATTTTAAGGACTTTACGTGCAGGACAAAAATGAAACTACAGGCTGATAGATCATGCTGTATGAAACCATTTTTAACTGTTAGCTAAATTCTAGACCATTCAAGTATCAAATAAGTTGAACAAGTCGGTGCTTCAGCAAAAATAATATGGCACTTTTGAAATAACTACATGCGATAAACTTGCATGGAGAATTGGATGAAAGTGCTAGGGAGAAGTAAAGAGTTTGATGGAATCGACATCTTTCACAGAATTTAAGGAAATCTATTTAATCTCGCATCCATCACAAGATGACGAAAATATACTTTCTAAATTCACTTCAGCAGCAAAGTTTTGAGAGACACTGAATGTCACACCAATTAGTGCTTTAAATACTGTAATTGTTCATTCAAAATTCACAAGAATCCCAGTATTGCTGCGAAGAAAAACGTTACTGGAAAATCCGTGATCTTTGACTATTTTTAGGTTCCCAAACAAGCCTTAGTACCCAGATATCAGCGGGCTGATTATTGAAACTAAAAGACAAAGGAATAGAAAAAGAAGATAAGGGATGTATGGAAGGATCCTATTGGTTGAAATAGGTGGTTCCCATAGACAAAGGAATAAAATGATGGACTAACTAAAGGGTCTTTCTTGGGTTGCCATTAGTTAGTCTATTAACTGCCTCCTTTGTCCATTGCAACCAAACGCTTCCACCAATAGGATTCCTTCATATCTCTCATGTCTTTTTTGTCTATTGCTTTGTCGATCAATTTCAATACTTGACCTGCAGGCTGAATCCACTTTTGAAAGTATTCATTTAATTTTTGGGCTGCATTATCCAAGGGAAATGTTGATAAAGGATAAAAAGCTCTGAGGGAAAATAAGTTCTGCATTCGGATCATAATATCATGTTTCCATGCTGTAACACTAGAAATATGGTGGAAAAATTTTACAGTAAACTAAGAATGGATTTTAAGCATCAGATCGGGCTTGGAACAAGTTTTTCAACAGTGATTCTGAAGCCATGTGGTTCATCATTGCAAAAAATTCAAAAGAGAAGTACCTATGTCCAAATGAGACATGATTAGTTGATCAATATTCTTGACTTAGTTTTGAGTGCCACCATTATTGACAACTGTTTTTGGGGTAGTTTTCAAATTGATTTGTCTATGTGTGCATCCCAAACTCAACGAGAAGGAATTTTATTGATTAACCTTTAAGATTGTAAATGGTTGATATTCTCACCTGGTTTCTTTCAGGACGGTATTTCTTGCCACAGGAAATAAGATGCCTCGTCAACTTCCCTTTCTGATTATCTTCGAAGGGACAGCTTGGACACTGATGGAAAGCAGGCGCTCGCTCCAACCGACCTCGGATATTGTGCTCAGCTTCCATATGATACAGAATGTCATGAGGACTCCGCACTTCCAGAGGACAGAAATTACACCTATACACATAGTTCTTCATGTGAGGGGTTTCTAGATGATGAGCCATGACCAGGGCAGACTCCGTTTTGAAGCTACAGTATTCACACTTCCTTTGAGGTAATCTAAACGGATCGTTGTTCTCTTTGCTAAACTCGAGCGTTTTACTCAGCGATTCGATCGCTGCTTGCGTATCTGCTGTACACTTAGCGCCTTCTTTGTCTAGCTTCCTCTTCTGAGAGCGCAGCAGATCTGTTTGCACGTACTCTTGCACCAAATTGATTCCAATTTGCATGAAGAATTTTCCTAAAGGGGCATCAAAATAACTATGACTTGACTTCTTGGGTTTGTCCTCCTCTTTCTTCTCAGGCTCTTTGACTTCCTCCTTGGCTTCTGCTTTCTTTCCGTCTTCTTTTTTCTCTTCCTCCTTCTCACTCTTCTCATCCTTTGGTTCATCTTCCTTCTCCTCATCTTTCTTCGTTTCACTGGACGAATCTTTATCTTCGCTTTTTGGCTCATCTACTTCCATTTTAGAATCATCTTTCTTGGCCTCTCCCTCTGCCTCAGAGTCACCTTTGGCTGCTTCATCTTCATCTGCCTTCTTTTCTTTTTCTTCTGCTTCTTTCGCATCTCTGGCTTCTTTAGCTTTTTTCTCTTTCTCTTCCTCTTCTTTCACCTTCCTCACAGCTTCTCTTTTGATCTCTTTGTCCATTTTGTCCAAATACCCTTTCAGTGGCTTGACTGGTGGTTTCTCATAGACGTAAGGGACTATGAATGAAGGCGCTTCTACGACAAACATATCGTCTGTTAGAGTGGGTAGAATAGCAGGCTGGGGCTTAGCTGATGCTTGGATAACTACAGGTTTGGGAATAACTTGAGCAGTTGTAGCTCGAATTTGAGGGTACATCCCTTGCGCTGGTAAAGCGACGGGTAACATTGAAAAACCTGAGCTCCTAGAGCTGGGAATGTTTATATGAGTTGTTGTACCACTTGAAGATATAGGCACAGGTCCTCGACCAGAGAGGATCGCATTCGTGTCTATTATAACTAACGTTGGTTCTTTTTTGTTTGTTTTGAGATGTTTACTACCTGCTATTTCTGCTAATCGTTTTGTATCATTGACTACTATAGTTTTATTTTTTAATTTTTGAGGACTAGGCGAGGAAGAATCTCCGGCTAGCGGATCAACTGGAACTATTTCTTCTATTTCATCATCATCATTCTTAGCTTTAACAGGTCTGATTGTCAGAGAGGGGGACACACTCTCTTTGATTAGTTTACTAATGTCCTTATCATTGTCTGAAGTGGACTTCTGTTTGTTTAAGTTCCGTGAGCTCCTTCGAGGTGTTATTGGTGAGATGGTTGCTGGTGCCTTCTTCGACTTCTTTCCTTTTTCGGGAGTGGCTTCAGAGTTATCTCCATCACGAGAGACGTCTGTCGAATTGAGATCATTGGATTCTTTTTTGCAGGAATCAGCTTCATCTTTAGAGCCATCCACATCTGGTGAGTCTCCATCTTCTACATCTTTTTCCTTGCCTCCATCTTCACTTCCCTCCTTGGAACTTTCATCTGCAGGCATTTCACTAGATATGGGATCTATAGAGGAGTCTACATTATCACTATCTTCTTTTGAAATATCTTCCGCTACAGATTTTTCTTCAGGCACTGTGTCAGCGTCTTCATCCGATGACTTTGTACTAGAAACATTTGAATTTGGAACAGCAGCATCTACCTCCATCGCTTCAACTTTATCACAATGAGAACCATTCATTTCTCCATTAACTTTTGAATCTGTAACAGAAACACAAAAACTTAAGATCAGCTAAATGAACAAAATAAATAAATAAATAAAAAAAAATCATGATCCATGATCAACCAATACTGCAAGTGGACTCCTCACTCCACCTGCCAAAATCTAGCTGAGTAGGTTGTCTACCCGTTATCACTTCCCTTTGGTCTTGAGAGAGCACTGCTGAACAATTTCTAATGGAGTGGTTACAGATGTATGAATAAAACTTGCAGATTTTGATAGGGCAAAAATGCCAGAATTGAGGTCAAATTCCCTAGATTTTCCCTGTGATGTGGAGGCTGAGTGTTTCCTGTCACTCATATCATTCAGCGTCGATAATATAAAAAAGGTGAAACATCACAACTGTAAACTTTTCTTACCAGAGAACACCCTGATAGCATTAATGTTTCAAGTCATGCCTGTTATAGGAACTTCTTGATTAGTTACATGGTTAACTTGCAAATAGGCCAATGGTAAGCATCTAAAATATGAGCTCTAGGGTCAGTTTGGTAGTACCTCAACATTCAAATTCACACTTCAGTACATTACTTACATACTTACATGGTAAGTATGAACACTGACTAAGGAAAAATTACAAATTCTTACTACTGTTAGAGAGAGAGTTGCTGTCCTCCTCCGTCCTTGAAGAGACTTTTTCTTCTTCATTGGATGCAGTTTCATTAGCAGCTTTGGTTTCAGACACCTCGTCTTTAGCTTCAGCTTCTTTATCATCATCACTATTTGATGATTTAGAATTTAAGAGTTTGTGCTTCAATGCGGCTGAATCCGAGTCCACATCCATTGGCTCTTCGCCATCACAATAAGACCCGTTCATTTCACCATTGACTTTCACAACTGCAACAACGAGTACAGGAGTTAACATTGCATTGACAATGAAAAGACCAAATTTGTTTACTTCGCTCAATTTAATTACTTAAATCAATTAGTCAAAAATTTAAAAATTAAATTGATAATATATTACTATGAGTTGATAGTTTAGTGCTGTTGTTTGTGGGTTAATTTGTTTTTGATACATAAATTGAAGGTTGCCCTGAGCTTATTAAAACATTTAAATAATATCTACTTATCTTGCTTTGAGAGATGATATCAGACTAAGTTGTACTATCATTTCGGAGGAGAAGCAAACCTTTGCTTTTAAAAAATCAAGGCATATCGGAGAAAAAACATGATCTTTCTGTCTAAAGTTCATACCTTTGTCATCACTGGCAGCATCGCTAACATTATTACTTGCTTCTTCTGCGGTATCTGCCATTTGACATAGATTAAGAGTTAATGATCTGAAACAAAAAAAGAGATCATAAAAATTAGCAATTGACGATATGAAATGTTTCTAAAGAGGATAAAAAAAGGATGAAAATTGACATTTACTGATGAAGGAGTTTAATCAAATTTTAGAATTGAAATTAAAAAGAAATCAGCCATTTTCTGAATTATGAAGATATCTATTCAAACCTCATCATGGTAAAAATTATTGCCTTTAAATTGATTCCACATAACTTTTTCCTTCTTTTCCCAAGAATAGCCTTTTTAGTGGGGGCTCCCTGAAATTCTTACAGTTTTGTTACCTTTTCCTCATTTTTTCCTAATGTTTACTTCCTGAACACAAAAACAGACAGTTTCTTCTTCTTCAACACCGAGTTAGAAAATTTCTTCAGCATTAAAGGGAAATAGTTCGGAAATTTGGATTGGGAAGATGGACTGTAGAAATGGTGGTGGAATGAACCACAACTAATTAGAAATTTGAATTCTCAGACAAATGATACAATGAACTGTATAAGGAAACTGAATCCTCTTCTGGCTCCTTTCTTCAAGTTCAACCCAAAAAATCCGAACATGTGAACCTTTTTACAGAAAGTCCGTACATTTTCCATTGTGCTGTACTAATTTATAAAAATCAGTGCTTGTTCAGAGTAACCAAGCTTCTTCTGGGTAGTAAACACCCTGGTGGTGTATCAAACTCATTTCAATAAACTGAGGACTTTCTTAATTATATACCTGGACAACTCTCAGAAAATTAGCTCATAATGAAGTTAATAATCCACTCGAAAATCTATCAGAAAATTACAGGGTCAATGTATTTGAATAAGCCATTCAAATAATACCTGAAGTTAAATCAAAATGAAATTTTTAAACTTTCAAGTAAAGGCAAGATGTCGAATTACAAAGTTAACTTAAAGAATAATGGATGAGCATTTGGTGTGATTTGAGATGATCGACACGACGTGAAATTAATCATCTGCTAATAATTAAGAAATACGTGAAATTTTTTTTTAATATTTTCTGAGGGAGGGGAGAGGGAGGTGCACAAAAAAATTCCAAAAGGATTTGGGTACTTTTACTTACCAAGACTTCTCCTTGGAAAAAATGATAATCAACAATAAAAATATCAATAAATTTGATCAACAGAGGTATAATGAGGCCATGGGCAGGAATAGGAGGCACTTCATTCACCCGGATGGGGCCTCACCTGATAAACAGAAATAAATACAAAAAGTTAGGAACATTATAAGATCAACTGGTTTACCATCTTGTTATAGGTCAGTTTTCCAGCCGCATTTTGTGTATCTCTTTCTCTGAAAGCATACAATAATACCATGGAAATAAATAACCAGGAGAGGGTGTTGATAAAATCCTTAAAATTCTCATTTAAAACACGGAAGTAAGACAGATCTAACTCTTTACCCATTGTGTGGGCACCCTGACATGTTTTAGTGTATCTATACCAGGCGTTAGGCATTTAATTGGCTCACATTAGTGTGTGTCAGCTTCACTCTTAAAAATCTTTGCAGATCTTTTTCAGTTTGCTTTGGTTTCTGGATAAAAATTTCTCTTTTACATCACTCTAACTTTCTTTTCATGTACTTATACTCGAAAGTTCCTTTTAATCTTTTAGCATGTGGATTGAATATTGTTACACTATCTCATGACGATGTGCTGAAGACTAGATTACTGCCTTAAATGCAGAGAACAACCAGATATTACCCCAAGAAGTAATGACAAGAATGCACTGTTCGTCTGATGAATATTTTGATGAAAGAATGGATCAGTCCACAAAAACTTAAGCCCCAAAGTCAATTTTTTGCAGTTCCACTCTAAAATTTTCCCCTGTATGATGATGTTCTTGATCTTTTCATAGTAGTAGCTTCCATCTGATGCTAACAACCTGATTTACTTTCCAATTCGAGAACTGTAAAAATGTATTCCTCAAACACTAAAATAGATGGAAAAATAGTACCAAAAACAATTATACCTCTACAGCAACGACTAATTAACAAATTTCAACACAAGAAATTATGATTGACCAACAGATCCTGCGATTAAAGCTCTATCCACAACAGTCAGTCTCCTGAGCAACATGTGCATACAAACACACCTCTTTTCAGCATGCCACATTCTACCACAGGTGTTGCTGTACAAAATTTTACTTGAAAAACATTCCCAGAGATTAAGTAAGGGCAAAGAAAGGAATTTGAATTATTTCTTTGCATCAAGTCCAAGAAATAGGAACTGTTCATAGAAAATTCCACAGATAACAAAGGCTCTTGGAACGAGACGAAATTAAGAGTTAAAAGACTCCAGGAATCTCATTAGCAAGTAGAGAGAAATCTCTGTAGATACAGATAGATAGGTACTCTGATCCATTTGGCAAAACTTTGCCACTACAAATTCCCTCGGAAGCACATTGACAGAATCATGAAGCGGGAGTCCACACCTTTGAAAAAGGCAAAGAAATGCTTGGAGTAGCTGATAGTATTTAAGATTGAAATGGACCTGTCAAACAGAGTAATTTCAGGTACTACTTGATGGAAGAGGTGACGCACTGTATGAAGATTGGGGTGAGGAAGAGGGTTGGGGAGCAAATAAAGAGGTGAGTTTCTGCAAATAAGAAAAAGACCGTCTCTATGACAAAGCATAACTTACTCCACAGTCTAATAGTTATTGCATACACTTCAATTGTCTTCCCACAGCAGCATGAGTGTGAACAGTTCCAATCATTTCATTAAACAAAGATTTTATTTACGAATGGAAGCAGTTATTATGAAAGAAAACATCTGATATTGATTAAGCTTTCCTTTCAAAAGTAAATCAACAGGTAAAAACCAATGGTTCACTTCAGAAAAATGCTGAGAAGAGCAACTGAGCGCAAGGACAGCGGAACTTGAAACGAAACTTAAATTACCTTACTTAAATTTCTTTACTATTTCACTGAAGCAACAAATAAGAGCTGAGCACCGTTAATTACGGCAGTACAGTACAGAGTCATGCTGAATTTTTACAGCACTGTAAGTTCCCGTGAAAGCGACACAATAATCCAATATGGCCGATCCCTAAGCATCAAGGCCTGCTATTTCAGGGGCAGTACCGACGATACAGTTTATACTGATATTATTGCAATGCAATAAATTGATAATTTTACATTAAAAACAGATAAATAGGGACTCATGCCCTTGCTTGCTCTTCAAACCAAATTTTGTGACATTAACCTTTGGCTGACAACCCTTCCGAGAACCCTACTTCAGCAGGGTTGATATAGTGTCAAGATGATGACGGGGAGTAACATCAAAGACACTGGAGAGTTTATACCAACAAACAAAGTTATACTGCAAAAGCTGGCTCTAAAGAGGAGATTGAAATTTTACCTGATATTGTCGGATTAATCCGTCCGACAACGTAGGTACATCTGCAGAGGGTAGGTAGTGGACATCCGTTGGGGGTTAAAACACACCTACAACTAAGAGCAAAACTTCCCATTGGAATGCAATATAATCTTCTATTAAGTAGGAGTATTATCACAGTTTAAACATTTTCAAAAGAAATTAGGGACCAAACTTTAGGGGGGCTACTTCAGTTAGACCAAACAAAACAAATACATAACCAATAACGAGTCCCTTGATAAGCGAGACCGGTATTCGAATATCACAGCGCATAAAAACAATCAAAAATAATAAACTAAAAATGCTTCCGACACTGAGACAAAATTACGATTTTGAGGAGAAATTAAATAAAATTCATGGCCCACTTTTAGCTCAGCCTATCTACATTCCCTTCGACTGATCTAACGACAGCACTTGCCGTCAGAGGGCGGTAAAATAGATAGCATGTAGTAGGCATGTTTCAGATTTTCGACGAAGTTTAATTTCAAGATATTAAGAACAGGAAATCATACTGACAAAACGGTAGCAGAAAATTTAACACCGAAAAACCCGCCGATTACATAGCAACAAATGCGAATATTCAAAACAGAATTACACATCCCGCCATTCAGTTTCAAAAAAGCCTACGTAACACTCAGTTTGGTTAACAAACAGCTGCCGCGGGAGGACTTCCCAAACTCGAAGATGATGTCAACAAATAACTGTGCGAATATCGTAAAAAAAGGAAACTGAAACCAACTTTTAGGATGTACAAGAACAAAAGAGTGAAAAGCTACTTTGCGAAAAATGACACTGATGATGGTGCACGGAAAGAAGAGAATTACCTCGGTAAAAATCCAACTGTCGGTCACGATTTACGGTTCGGCACGTCACTTACCCCAAGTAGAACGAGATACAAAGCAACCAAGCAACAAAACGCCAAAATGGCGCCGACCGGTCACGTGATCCTGAGAGTGACGTATTCGGTCCGAATAGGTAAGTATATACAACAGTACATACCTTTCATATACTCGCCTGGGTATGCCATCAGGGTGGTAACCATATACACCGGCCGGTACAACGCGGTATACAGTTGGCAACAGGGTAAAAACTCAAATTTTTCAATTTTTCCGAAAATTTTCATGGATGCTCGCTCGCTCGCACGTACATAAAGAATATAGGGTTTTCTACAAAAAAATCGGAGCCATTGGGGGAGGGGGGGAAGGGGGTGAAATCGCCGGGTTGTGGAAAAGGGATGAAATTTCCGTGAGCTACATCAAACGGAAAGTAAATAATCGGCGGAAAAGTAAAAATTCAATTGCGAATTTTAATTTCACATGAAAATCATGATCTGCCACTAAAAAACAAGAGTGATGCGTGAAAGTCGGGGACACATGGAGACCGCTCCAAAACACAAAAGTAGAAGAGAGAATTGTTTTAGGATATGTATCCTCACTCAGAAAATGACGAGGTCTAATGATAGCTGTCCATCATAATATGTAATTAAATACAATTGAGCGATAGCAGGCGTGGGGGGGGGGGGGGTTACAAGTGCTCCTGACCGACTAATACGTTCCTCAAGAGAAAATTGTCCTTTTCAAAATGTGTTTTCCCTACACTTCAGAGAGCGTTTTGTGAACGTGACAAAAATGTTGCTTTGACAAAATAATGTTTTCCGAGCTTCACGACTTCTAGGAATACTACTATATTAATATATAGGTAAGACCTTTCTTAACTTCACGAGACATTCGGTTTCTGTTACATTTCGTTTTATTCTTTTTATGGCGGTCCTTGAAAAAAAAAAAAAAAAAAATCCAGATTACCTGGAAGAATTGGTTCGGCTTCCGAAAACGTGCCGGGAAAATTACAAGAGGTTTCTCTCCCAAATTATCCGATCCTTTGCGATCGTCACATATCCAGTGAAAATGCACTAATACTTCAATCAATCATACGAATTTCAAAGCCTTTTATAAATTCATTGAATGAAATGCTCCCTCATTAACTTTTTTCCGGTGTTTCTCATCCTTAGACCACCCCCCCCCTTGACCTGAGGGGTATTTCACACCATATCCACCCCGTGGATGGGGTCGAGAAAAAAATCCACCTCGAAGCGTCTGGATCCGCCTCAGGTGTTCCTGTCGATGGCGATTCTTGAGAATGGGTCTTGCCGATCGATTCGTTCCGTAAAGGACAGAGCGCTCAACGAGCATACCTAATACCCTTTGTCTCATGAGCTCTGCGGTCATTGCTCTTGTGAGAAGATTAAGGTTTACAACTCAACATGGGTTGGGTTCATTTCACGCCCAACTCTCCAAATTCGCGCCCCCCTTTTTTTGAGCCCCACTGTACACCCCCAGATGTTTAATTTTTGTAAAATTGTGACGCATTGACGGGAACCTTAGTATATGATAAAATTTGACATTAGTAAAAGTTTTTTTTTTTTTTTTTTTTTTTTTAAAAATTAATTAGTAAACCTAGAATGAAAGAAGCTCAAATAAAAAAATTCCCTGACTATCCTGAACTTCTGCGCAGAAAATCCCTGAATTTTCTTTGACTTACCAAAAATACAAAAAAGTTCGTCGACTACTTTGAGAAAGGTTAACCTCTCGCTCGGTGCAGCCTCTCCGAATGAAAACATTCTCTGACCTCCAACAAGATTCTTTGACCTTTTTTTTTTTTTAATATGGTTTTAAGGCGTTTTATCGGGTAAAATTCTTTGACTTTTTACGGGCTTTCCAGTTAATTCGCTGTCTTCACAAAGTTTCCCCTGACCAACCCCACCCTGTTGGCGCGACAATACATTTATTCTCGGATTGCTGTCAAGCACGTAGGAGAAAACTTGTATCCGTACAGGGACGCAGCATAATCTGACTGTGGCGCCCACTAATTACCTCACGCACATACATAGGTAATGTAAGTACATAGGCGCCTCGATAGAAGGATCCGTTCGAAAAGGAAACACCTTCCTAACCGCGTGGCGATGACGTAAGCCCCTAATGAATTTGGGCCGCACGCCTTGCAATTCCGACGTGATGAGAGTGTTACGCAATGGTTTGAGTGCATAAAGTAACAAATTACCAAGAAAATAGATCCATTTATGAAAAGCCCACGTCGCGTCGAACATAGACGAAAGGAAGATGAATAGAAGTGGAAGCGGAGAATCGACGCGACGCTTCAGCGTCTTTCCCCATTTCATATATGATCAATCTGAAAGGTCGAATGATCAATGATATTGTAGATCGTAATTTTTTTCTAGAAAAAAAAAAAAAAGCAATCCAGGCTTAGTGAAGGATAACGTTACTTTCCCAGCGTAAGCAGCGTAGACTATTTGTACTTGATCGAAAATACCAACTGAAAGACGATACAAGTACCGAAATAAAATCAGCGATAATGATTGAGAGGGCCGAATATTCAAAGGTAAAAAGTGAGAATACGAATAAATAAAAAAATTCCAGAACAGGTCGAGAAGACATTATTTGGCGGAAACTCCCGGTATTAAATTTTTAGACGAGAGGTTAAAACCAAAAATTTAGATTAGTAGGGTGAAATAGGTCCAACGTAATTTAGGGGTTGCAAAAAAATACGAAAATAAGTGAAAAGAGAATCATTTTTTTTAAAAAAAAAAATTACTTTTTTGGGTTTTTCCTTCTTAAAAAAAAAGTAAGTGGATGAAAAAATGGACGAGATACGTTAAATTAATTTCTTCATAGGAGGCGGAGGGGGGGGG